TGGACACCAAATCCACCGTGTTTCTCAAATTGCCAGGTCTGGGACTTGAATGGCCAGTCATGCGAGATCCACCTCCCTAACCACTGTGCCACTGGCTGGCCCTAAATATATTTTTTTCTTAAAAATGTATAATTTTATTTACTATTATTATATATTTTCTTAATTCACCAGAGGGGGAGGGGAGTGAGAAAACAAGTTGCCAAGTCCAGATCTCAAATCATGGTTGGCCATGTGGGAGTCCAGAACCCCCACCATGCCACCTGCAGGCCTCCTAAATATATTTCTTAATCCAAATATGCTAAACAACATAACACCACTATTTATGGTCACACCATAGGCATGTATGTGGGAGTCCAGCTCCTTAACCATCATGCCACTTGCTGGCTCCTAGGTTGTATTATTATTATTTTTTATAATTATTTATTTATAATAATTATTTTTCAATTTTGACCAGAGAGAGAGAGAGACAGAGAGAGCAAGCTGCCAGGTCTGAGACTCAAACTGTGGTCAGCCATGTGAGAGTCCAGCACCTTTAACCACAATGTCACCTGCCAGCCATGGATGCATTCTCTTAAAGCCCAAATGGGACTGTGTATTCTGAAGTAACCAATTCCACTTTTAATGTTCTAGGTGAATCATTTAAAAATAGAGATCCTCTTTTAAGAGGCTGGAGTAGACATTCCCATAATCCATAAACCATCTTAAAAGATGTTCATTCCACTCAAATAGTCTGCTGTCACTATCTATTTAGTTTTTGGTGTATTTTTGCCTTAAATATAAAATGATGATACCAAAGTCCATACTAATAAGATAATTATTTCTGGGCCAGTAGATGGCACAGAGGTTAAGGTGGCTGGATCCCACATGGCCGACTGTGTGATCTGAGACCCGGACCCAGCAGCCTAGAAAACATGTTGGGCATGTGTGCATGCATGCCCAAAATCCCAGGAGGAGAATGGAGAAGAATGGACTGCAGCATGGTCACTCCCTCTGGGGAGGAAGTTCTCACTTTCCCCTCTCTCTCTTTCTCTGTCTCTGTCTCTGTCTGCACACATGCCCTATAGCCACACACAAAAAAGGAAAAAAGGTCATTATTTCTAAGATATATATTACTTGTGGGATTCATTTTCTAAATATGTAATTAAGTCTAAAACTAATTAAGAAATGAAAACTTACACTGAAATATTTTTTGCACAATCAACTCTAATGGCTGGTTTACACTGACAAAATTATGAAAACAGTAATTCTATATACTTTGTACAATAAATAAAATGTAAACACAAAATATTTCAATACATAAATAGAAGCTTTACACATCCAAAATATAGTACATATATATAAAATATATCTCTAAACTTTAATGAAATACTATGACTATAATTTTGGTTATAAACTATATACATATTTTGATATAGAAATATATTTTTTCTAACATTTCACACTTCAGAGATAACTTGCATGGTGAGCTTGTGGAGAGTAATTTTATATACTGAACTTTTTAGTAGCTAATTGTAATTTATAATTCAAGGGAAGGACATGACTGTGATACTAGGAAGAAAAATTTCTTCATATGGCAAAAGTGCCATTTTGAGGAATATAGTATATATAGTGTTCCATTTTTGTAAAAATGATAATACTGAAGATAAAAGGGAAGGTACTAGATTTTCAACTTTTTGGTATCTTGAGCATCAACTCTGTAGAGTGACGAGGATCAAATTTAGGGGTTTCTGTAAGATCGAATTGCTAGATTATCATTCCATTTCATTACTTACAACCAACATTTGAGAATCACTTTTTCAAGACAAAACATATTTTGACAAGTCTCCAAGTGAACAAATATACTGCTTCTCAACATTTCGAAGGCTGTGTGATAAATAAACCCTGACTTGATGTACCTTAAAATATGGTCCTTACAGTATGACAGACACTAGGCAAGCGCATAACACAGAAAGACAGTCGAAAACATTTATTCCCCTAATCAGATGAAGAAAAGTTACAATGATGCCTAAGAATAAATACTTCACTATGTAAGTGCTAAAAGGGCAGGAGTTCAGAATTTAACACCTTACTGGGATTTGTGTATTTTATCATTTTTGGCCAGTTGCATTCATTATTTAAGGAGATGTTATTAATAACAAAGTTAGTTAAGGAGAAGCTTTAGCCATTTTAAAGTGACAAGGAAATTTAGTTTCTCTTAAAGTTTATACTTAATGTTAATCTATATATCACTGTTTGGGGATTTCTGGAGACATTAGGGTAATTTCTTATTTTCAAATTAATATAATCTTTCCAGTAAAGGGCACATATTGAGTTAAAAATCTGTTATAATTGCACCTACTTTCAGAAAGAGTACTCGTTCCTTATAAGGGGACTGATTTACAAATACAATTTTCATTAACATCTTATTTCCATATATCTCATGCCATTTAGTCACTTTAATAGAACACTTTCATTTAAATCATTTTATCCCCTTTAAATCGAGCCTGCAGTTTGGAAAAGGGAGTTTAAATATAGTCTCATTTAAATATTCAAACATATTAAATATATAGAGTATAATCAATTTAATAGCTATTGATCCACTGATAGTTATTTTGTTTCTTCTTTCTGGACTCTTTGTTCTTCTCGGTGATTAGCTGCAGTCCAAAATGTTATTTTTTTGAGCACTTGTTGTAGAAGTTTAGGAGGTAATAAAGATATCTGACTTTTTAAAATCATAGCATTTTTACCAATGCAGTCCAAGCATAACCTGTAAATAAAGCATAAAGAATTTAAATTAGTTTTTGAACCCACATAAAACAGTTAAGTATTCTCAAAAATAAAAATAAATATTATTATGAAATTTTACATGACAATGTACCTTTCTTGGTATTGTTTAGAACACGGTCAAATTTTTTTCCAGAGTACAATAATAATTGCATATTTTTACAGTATAGACTGACAAAATTCCAATAGAAACAGAAAATACAACTTAGCATGCATAACATTCTTTAAGTAATAAAGGATTCACACTTAATTTTAAAGCAGATTAGTCTACGACAGACCCTTTTTCACATATCCTTCCAGTTAGCTCATAACCATGTACCTTTCTCTGAGAACTGTCTTTCCCTTCCATCACTTAGAGATAAAGCATCTAACACCCATTTTTATACCACGTGATGCCCCATTTCCTGTTAAAAACTACTGTGCTGGGGTTCCATATTTGACAAGTAGACCCAAAGACACCAGGTGAGAAGACAAGAATTATCTTGTGATTCCACTAGAGGGCACTATCCCCTCAGATACAATTTTCTTAGTCTCATGCTACTGTGGAGGAGTATACTTTTTAAATTAAAATTTTAAATTATTAGTAGTAGTATTAAATTTGAGCAGAGAGATAGAGAGAGAGAGGGAGAGTGAGAAAGCAAGCCACCAGGTCCAGGACTTGAACCACGGTCAGCCATATCGGAGTCCAGTGCCTTAACCATGCAACCTGCTAGCCCAGAGGTTTTATACTTTTAAAACACAAACTTAAGAATTATTGATAAACATCTACTTCAACTGATAAACTTTAATTCCAAAAGATAAATACATCTTTCAAAAGAGGTTTTAAAATAGACTCATTTTGGATGGGACCAGAAGTTAGCGTAATGGTTATGTCGCTGAACTCCCATGTAGTCGACTGTGGTTTGAATCTTGGACCCGGTGGGTTAAACTCAAGCCAGGCACATGTGTGTGCGTGCCCGAGATCCCGAGAGGAGAATGGAGGAGAAGGGATTGGGGGCTGCAGATTGGCTAGTTGTTAGGTCACTGAAATCCCACACCCAATTGCAGTTTGATTCCCAGATCTGGTGCCCTGAAAATCACACTGGACAAGTCTGCATGTGTGACCAAGAGCCCAGGAGAGAAACGGAGAAGGGACTGTGGCAGGGCCATCCCCCTGGGAGATAGCAAGCACAGCACCCTATGGCAAAAACAAAAACAAACAAACAGAAACAACTCATAAAAAGGAGACTCATTTGGGGGCCAGCAGGTGATGTGAGGTGGTTAAGGCACTGGACTCCCACATGGCCAGCCACAGTTCGAGTCTCGGACTTAGTGGCTTGCTTCCTCACATAGTCTCTCTCTCTTTTTCTCTCTGGCCAATTCGAAAAATAATAATAATAAATAAGATGAAATAATTCTTTTAAAAAACGGACTCATGGGAACCAGCAGTTAGCGTTATGGCTATGTCGCTGGACTCCCACATAGTCGACTGTGGTTCGCGTCCTGGACCCAGTGGCTTAAAACTCACGCCGGGCGCGTCTGCGTGCATGCCCAAGATCCCAAGAGGAGAATGGAGGAGAAGGGATTATGGCGTGACCATCCCCCCTGAGGGGTGATTTCTAGCTTTCTGTCTCTCTGTCTCTCTCTGTCTGTCTGGTGAGCGCACGCACCCTATTGTGAAAATCTCTCAAAAAAAAAAACCGGACTCATTTGATTCTGCTGTGGTTAACTTTAGTTGTCATTTTTATAAGCATTTACACTCTGGGGATTTATGTTCTTCTATATTTTCATGAAGCCTTTTTTCTTTGTGAGAAATATAAATAAGAAGCATTAAAATATTCAACATAGAGGGGCCAGCAGTCAGCCTAATGGCTATGTCGCTTGGACTCCTATGTAATCAACCGCGGTTCATGTCCTGGAACTGGTAAACTCACGCTGGGCACGTGTGCGTGCATGCCCAAGATCCCAAGAGAAGAATGGAGGAGAAGGGATTGCGGCGTGGCCATCCCCTACCCCCCCGGGGGGTGATTTCTCACTTTCTCTCTCTCTGTCTTCTCTCTTGTCTTTCTGGTGAGTGCACGCACCCTGTAGCCAAAACCTCTCCCCCCCCATCAAAAAAAAAAAATTCAATATAGAGGAGGCACCAGGAGGTGTCATAGTTGGGGCGCTGGATTCCCACATGGCCAACCGCAGTTCAAGTCCCAGACTTGGCAGGTCTTGCTTTCTCTCCCTCTCTGTCTCTCTCTGTTCAAACTGAAGAAGAGTAAAATTAAATGAATAATTCTTTTAAACATTCAATGTAGATGTACTAGAAGTATAAGAAAATTATAGGAATTTTATTTCCTGGTACAAATTTAAGTCTGTTACGAGGATGACAAAACAATTCTTGTGCCGTCTTCATGATGACAGAAAGAAAAATCAGATAAGGAGATGGCTTCAGCCTTTACCAGTCACTTGCTAGTAACAACTTATACTTGATCAGTGTGTACTGTATACTAACTACTATCTTAGGAGGAGAAAATCCAGTACCAGTTTATACTTTTTAAAAAATTTTTAAATGTTTTTTTTTCACATTTTATTGATTCACTAAAGATCTTAATTAATCTAAATACATTCAATAGCAAGCACAGTTGATTTATACATATCCATGAACACAAGTCTGACTTTAGGCATAAACCTCAGTGAATAGAATGAATATACTATAAAGTATACCTAGTTGGGGTTATATAGCTTACTACAGTCATTAAATAGCTATTTTTTTTAACTTTTTTTTCTGAAATATTTCTTTAATTAATTAATTTATATTCATTCCCTGAGCATTGTCACAGCATACAAAATGTGATTTCTCATCCAGAATATGGTACATAGTGGCTTAATCATAAATTTTATCATCAATAATTTTCCATTTCTAGTTTCATGTGTGTGTATGTATGTATGTATGTGTATATATATGTATATATATTTAATTTTTTTAATACATTCATTCTTTTACTTTAATTTGACTGAAAAGAGAGACACAGAGAAAGAGAGGGAAGGTGAGAAAGCAAGCTGCCAGGTCCAAGACTTGAACTGTAGTCGGCCATGTGGGAGTCTAGCACCTTAATCACCACACTACCCATTGTCCTCAAGCTCTTACTAACCTCACATACTGGATTTCCACATTTTATAGAGAATACATGTTATTTTCTCATTTTTTATTCATTCATTCATTTTATTTTTTGGTTTGATCAGAGAGAGACAGAGGGTGAGAGTGAGAGAGAGAGGAAGTGAGAAAGCAAGTCACCAGATTCAGGACTCGAACCCTGGTTGGCCATGCGGGATTGTCCAGCGCCTTAACCACCTCACCACCCACTGGTCCCATCCTATACATATATTTTTAACCCCTATCTCTCACCCTCTGCCATGTCCCACCCTCCTACCACACTATCTCAGGTGTTTACAGTTGTTCTCCATTCCTTTTTTTCCCCACATTGTATTGATTCACAAAATTTCTTAAATAATCTACTTTCAATAGCAAGTTCAGCTGGTATACACATATCTGTGAATATATGTCTGACTGTAGGTGTGAAACTCTGAGTAGAGTGAATATACTTTAAGGTAGCACCAGGCTGATGCTAGATAGCTTGCTAGGGTCATTAAATAGGTATTTTTTAATATATTTTTTAATTTCAAGAAAAGCAGTTTTAGCTTTAATAAATCAAAGAAATGCTAAGGAACTTTGCTTAAAACTTAAAGACAGGGAACAGGTTAGGATTCTGTTCAAATAGTAGGTACATGAACCTATCCGCAGCTTAAGACAGGACAAAAATCCTTAAAATTAGAAAACAAAGCCTAGAAGAAAATCAGCAATGTTTTAGTCAAGTCATAAAATACAATTTCACCAGTTCAGTCTCGTGTACTTAATCTATCTTCTATTGTGGTTTGACCTTCCTGATTAAATTCTAGGATATAATATTCAACTCCAGACTTGTCCCTATGATTCAGTTGGGCCTTTTCTTAGTTTTTGAACTCTTATTTCTGTGTGTCTGTATTTAATTGTCCTGGTATAGCACTCCCTTCAGAACTTCTTGGAGATCTGGTGTGGTGTTGGTAAATTCTTTCGGGTTTTGTTTATCTGAGAATGAAGGATAATCTTGCCGAGTACAGTATTCTTGGTTGAAATTACTTTTATTGAATGAATATATTTTCCTATTCTTTCCTTGCTCACATTGTTTCCAATGAGAGGGCCACTGTTATCCTGATGGGATATCCTTTGCAGGTAACTTACCATTTATCTCTTGCCAATCTTAGTATCTTGTCTTTGTCTGTGGTTTTGGTCAATCTGGCTATAATGCGTCTTGGAGAAAATCTTCTTGAGTTGATTCTATTTGGGGTCCTTTGTATTTCTTGAGACTAGATCTTTGAATGCCTCTCTAGGTTTGGAAAGTTTTCTTCCAGGATTTCATGGAATAGATTATCAATGCCCTTATGAGTCTCTTCACCTTCTGGGATACCAATTATCTGGATGTTTGGATGTTTGATGGTATCTAGTATTTCTCGTATATTATTCTCATTTTTGGGGGGCCATTTTCTCAGTCTTTGTGGTGGATTTTTCTAGGCCAGCAATTCTATCTTCTACAACTGAGATTCTATTTTCTGTATGATCTAGTCTGTTTTTAATACTTTCAGGGGAGATTTTGACTTCCTGTATTATAACCTTCATCTCTAACAGTTCCATTTGATTATTTTTTTATAGTATGTATTTCCTCTTTTAGATCTTTCAAGAATTTCACCTCCTGGAACTTGTCGGCTCCTTTCTCCTACCTCTTCTGCAATTCATTTTCTCTCTTCTCTTCCATCTCTGTTAGCTTTGTCATTATGAATATTCTAAATTCTTTATCAGACATTTTCATGAGTTTCATTGTACTGTCTGAGGATGATGAAGAGTTATTGTTTTCCATTGGAGAAGAGGTATTTTCTTGCTTTCCCATAATTTTTTGTGACCCTGAAGTGATTTCTAGTCATCTGATGGATGGTGCATTTCTTCCTAATTCTTGAAGTTCAATATGAGCATTCAGAGGTGTGCAGAAGGAAGTGATCTGCAATACCTCTTCTGTCCCCTTTTCTTTTTGTCTTTTTTTTTTTTTTAGAGTTTTTTGCTATAGGAGGCATGCACTCACCAGAAAGACAGAGAGACAGAGAGACAGAAAGCGAGAAATCACCCCCCCCCCCAGGGGGATGGCCATGCTGCAATCCCTTCTTCTCCATTCTCCTCTCAGGATCCTGGGCATGCACTCACACATGCCTGGTGTGAGTTTAAGCCACTGGGTCGGGTACCCGAACCACAGTCAATCACACGGGAGTTCAGCAACATAGCCATTACGCTAACTACTGGTCCCTCTGTCCCATTTTCACTCTTTGTGTATCAGATTCAGTGGGAATAGAGGACTATTCTGACCCTAACCATACTCAGATGTTTGGATCCTGTTCACTTGAACCTTAGTGCATAGAGGCCACTAGAAATGATTTGTGAGGGTGAAGTCTCCGCAGAAAATCTTCATTTTTGTTCAAGAAAAGCAATATTTCACAGCTGAAGTTTAGTATCTATCTCAGGATCACCATTTTATACTTTTAAGAAGATTATAGTTTAGTGGGGGAAAAATCAACAAAATGTTATGAATGCTATGACTGGAATAGAATGAAATTTCCATGACAGGTACAGGTTCTGTGGGAATCAGGTAGGAAGAATAAACCAAACAGAGCTGGTCCCATAGAGTAGTGGTTAAGTGCTGTGCAGAGGAAGCTGGATGCCACATGGCCAACCAGGGTTTGAGTCCTGGCCTTTGCAGCTTGAAAAACACACTGAGTGAAGGTTGTGTGAGAGCCCAGGATTCCTGACAGTATGGGGCTTGGTGACAATGGTCCTTTCTCTCTCTTGTGCACACACACACACACACACACACACACACACGGTTCACAAGCAAACAAACAAAAAATAGGGGCGGGCCCTGTAGTGCAGTGCTTAGGAGCTATTATGCAGAGGAAAGCTGGATCTCACGCAGCTAACCCTGGCCCTGCTGGCTTTATGCCAGGGACGCATATTGCTCAGCATCCTGATAGGACGGAAGCTGGGAGACAAAGGACTGTGGCATGACCAAGTCTCACTGTTGGGCATGTGCTCACTTTTTCTCTCTCCATGTCTCAAGTATATACATCCTCTGGCATAAAAAATAAAAAGAATAACCAAGACACCCTTAGCACATGTGGAGGGGGCATTTTCCAGGTGGGAGGTCCAAGCTGAAACCTGGAAAGCCTCAACAGATTAAATAAGCAAAGGTATTCCAGATACAGGACTGCAATTACACAGACCTAGAGATAAAAGTGAGAGTTATTACAGAAACTGCAATTCTGTGGTTTCACTATGGCCAGAGGGCAGAGCGTGCTAGTGGGGCATGGCAAAAATGAGGCAGAGAGATAAGCAGAGGCCTTAGACACTATGTCCAGGAAGCTGCAGGTTGTCAGGGGCAGCAGGAGCTCCTGGAGAGCCATCCCAAGACAGCTTGTACATGTGCTCTGATTCTCCACTATCTCCTCTCAGAACTGCTCCTAGGAGACATGCACATTCTCTGATGACACACACAATATTTCATGCCCAGCTTTTACAGCAGCTCAAAACTACAGATATCCTAATATCTATCAATAGATTTGGGGCAAGAGGCAGTGGAGCAGCAAACCGTGACACTCTATGAGGCTGGCCTGCATGAGAAGCTTCTGAGTTCGTACCTGGAGACCTCCCCAAACACGTTGGGAACATGCATGCTAATGACATGGTGACCAGGGCAGGTGAGAGACTGCAATGTCAAGATCCTGCCAGGAGTCCTTGGGTGCTGTCTCTCTGTCTCTCTTGCTCATAGGATAAATAAATAAATTAATTTTAAAAATAATAAATAAATATTATCAATACACCAATACATAAATTGTACTACCATGAGACAGAACACTGCACAGCCACTACTAACAGAACTATGGATCTATTACATTGAATAGTCATAAACGTACATCCAAGATACCCACAATCTGTTTTAAGAGCAGATTATAAAAACATGCATGATTTGATCCTTTGTACACACAAACACACATGTATGTGTACTGCTCTCGCAAAGGTCCCCAGTGATCACCTGAAGTGGTTAAATGCTCTCTAATCATTTAACAACATCACTAAAGTGATTTTAAATTATTTTAAAAGTTTAGAAGAATAACACACTCTTAACAAGGATCATTGTGGCTGATAGTTCTTAAGTATTTTTTGTTTTGCTTCATTTTTTTTTTTTTACCATATATTTTCTTTTAAAGAAATATTTATTTTTTTACCAGAGAGATAAAGGGAAAGTGAGAAAGCAAGCCAACAGCTCTGGGACTTGAACCACAGTCCACAATGTAGGAGTCCAGGACCATAACCACCATGCCACCTGCTGGCCTCCATGTACTTTTCATATTTTGTACAGTTTCTTGGTAAATACACCTTATTTTTAAAATCAGAATAAATAATAGAAATACACTGTTGATGGAACTGTAAATTACTACAGCCATCATAGAAAACAATATGGAGTTTCCTCAAAAAATGAAAAACAGAACTGCGATGTGATTTAGCAATACCACTACTAGATATATATCCCAAGGAAGGAAACCCACATATTGTAAAGATTATCTGTATGCTTCAATGTTTACTGCAGCAATATTCACAGCAGCCAAAATATGGGATCAAACTAAGTGTCCATCAGCAGACAATGATGGATGCTATGGTTTGGATAATAGTTTGTCTCCCAAAGATTCATATTTATTTATTATTTCAAATAATAAATTTATTTGAAATAATAAATAAATTATAATATTATTTATAAATAAATGAATGAATGAATGAATGAATAAATAAATAAATATAAATAAAAATAAAATTTGACCAAAGAGGGGCAGAGTGGGAGCAAGAGCAGGAGAGAGAGAAAGGGAAAGTGAGAAAGCAAGCCACCAGGTCTGGGACTCGAACCGCAGTTGGCCATGTGGAAGTCCAGCACCTTTAACCACCATGTCACCTGCCGGCCTCAGTGGTTCACGTTTTAAAATTTGGTCTTATAGGCAGTGATTGGATGTTCCCCAGAAATTCATGTATTGGGACTTGACCTTATATAGCAGTGTTAGATGAAACTTAATTCCTTCATGGTGCCCTAGGGTGGACACGCAATGTGTTTTTCATGTTGCTGGGAGGGTGATTCAAACTGGTCAGCCAGGTGGGATGTAGCTCTCTATTTGCAGCACTTAACCGCTGCATAACAGGGCTAATCCACCCCATATTTCCTTATAAAATCACTCAGTATCAATTATTTCTGTTAGCAATGCACTGAAGAACTAAGACAATGGAATACTATTCAGCCATGAAAAAGAACGAACTCCTATCATTTCAGGTTACATGGGTGAGCTAAAGGACATAACGTTAAATGAAATAAGTCAGGTACAGAAAGCAATATGAGGGGGCGATGTTCTCCCTCATAGGTGGAAACTGAAGAAAATGACTTCACATAAGTATAGACATGAAGAATGACTACTAAGAGGATGGGAATGAAGAGGGGAAGGGGTGAAGAGCAGATGTTGATTAATGAAAACAGAATTAGATTGCTATGAGGTATGATTTCTTGTGTAATAAAATACAGTGGGAGGACTAGCAGATGGCATAATGGTTATGTTGCTGGACTCCCACATAGACGGCTGAGGTTCGAGTCTCAGACCAATGGTTTAAAACTCATGCCAGGCACGTTTATGTGTGTGCCCCAAATCCTGAGAGCAGGATGGAGGAGAAGAGAATGCGGTGTGGCCTCAACTATCAAATACACTTTAATTTCAAAAGAGTTAAAATGTGAAAAATGGAAAGGCTTAGACTCAAGGAAATACAGTATGTTTAATATTACCACGTGCACTAATGTAATTTTACAAACAAAACAAAACTGTAGCTGTACTGTATATTTTAATTTTGAAAGATCACATTAGTGTGGTTCACTGCTATAAATATGATTATATTAGGAAGATGTAAACCTTTTCTTGAACTCGTCATAAACTACCTGAAAAATATAACTCTTCCCAAAAAAGGAGGAAGAAAGAAACTATACAGTCATTGAATATTTATGCATAAAAATACCAGATTTGCTTACCTGAGTAGTGAATAAGGCTGTGTTTGAAAGATCAATAAATCATTACAGTGACCCTAATCAACAACAAAAAAGATCTTATTAGGGTTTTTGGTAAAAATGATAGTACATAAATAATTGAATACTTTTATAAATGTAAATGAAATTATGTAAAGCAGCAAATAAACCATTCTTTCTAGCTATCAGTGGACACACACATGCATGCACACATTTACATATGCACATGCACATACACACCAACATACACATGTGTACATATATATATCTGCCATCCAGAAATCTTACATGCATAGTTATCAATTTTCTCTTTTTTTTTTGGAGAGGTTTTTGCTATAGGGTGCGTGCGCTCACCAGACAGAGACAGAAAGAGACAGAAAGTGAGGAATCACCCCCAAGGGGGGATGGCCACACCACAATCCCTTCTCCTCCATTCTCCTCTCAGGATCTTGGACACGCATGCACATGCGCCTGGCGTGAGTTTAAGCCACCAGGTCTGGAACGCAAACCGCAGTCGACTACATGGGAGTCCAGCGACATAGCCATTATGTTAACTGCTGGTCCCAATTTTCTTTCTTTTTTTTTTTTTAACCTTTCTTGTCTTCTTTTTTATTATTATTTTATTTTATTTATTCATTCATTTTATTTTTTAGTTTGATCAGAGAGAGACAGAGGGTGAGAGAGAGAGAGGGAGGAAATGAGAAAGCAAGCCACCAGATTCAGGACTCGAACCCTGGTCGGCCATGTGGGAGTATCCAGCACCCTAACCACCACGCCACCTGCTGGTCCTGGTCCCAATTTTCAATAACTAAATTTTACCAAACCAATAACCTACATAATTATAAATTTAAAAATCAGAACAATGTTTTCCACTGAGAACAGTGAGTTAAAGATGATAACATAGCAGTAGTAGCTTTGCGCAGTGGCAGTATCGTAGCCAATGAGGTTTATCCGAGGCGCAATTATTGCTAATTGAAAACATAACAGTAGTGGTTTTCAATTTTTTTGTTTTTTTTGAGAACTTTTCTCAATAACTCTTATTTTAAAACCTGCACTTTATTCTCCCTTCTTTTTCCAAGGTGGCCCTACGGATTTCTTGAGAAATCTTAATTTGAAAATCAAGATCTAGGAGATTTTTAGAAAAGCAAGTCTCTTATCTAAAAGTAAATACAGGGGGCTAGGAGGTGGTGTGGTGGTTAAAGGCGCTGGACTGCCACGAGGTAAACTGCAGTTTGAATCCCAGACCTGGTGGCTCAAATCACACCAGGCATGTGTGTGCATGTGCAAAATCCCAAGAGGAGAATGGAAGAGAAGGAACTGGGGTGTGGCTATTCCCCCTGAGGGATGATTTCTCATTTTCTGTCTCTCTAGCAAGTGCATGTGCCCTAAAGCCAAAAAAAAAAAAAAAAAACCTCTCAAATAAAATAAATATGGTAGAATAATCAGCAGAAAATGTCTCTAATCCTTTCAAACAGGCCTTTAGAGTTTCATAATTTATGATCATAATTTAAGCAGAATTCCCATTTTAATGATAAACTTTGTATTCTAGCTCCTAGTGTACCTTTCTAGTGCCGAGAAAGAGAAGACAAACCACAAAATTCGCTTGTTAAGTAAATACAAGGAATATCTAGTGAAGCACTGAATTTTCAGCCCAAGAAAGTTCTAAAACTTTCAATATATGTAACATTTAAGTGGAAGGCCTTACAACTACTAAATAAAACAAACCACCTAAGAAGAAGCCACCTTATTTCAAGATTTGCCACTTTGTAGGAACAACTTCGAAGACAACTGCCTGGAGAGGTGAAGTGGAACTGGTGCCCCCTGGTCAGGCTCCAGCTTGTTGCACCCTGTCTCTGACAGATCAGAGCCCTGCTGTTTTCGGTGTCCTATGCAAACCAAAGCAGTCCATCCTGGACTCCTGTCCCACCAGGTAGCGGATATGAATGGGGCCACCCTGCTCCATATTTCTCAAGGTGCTGGGAATAAAAGAACATTCTTGGAATACTACTCATCTATTTCTTTGACCTTAGTTTTATCAGATTCCAGAACCAAAATGCTTTAAGCCCTGATATAAAATAGCAGGTGTGAAGCACAGCAAAAGATACACAACATAAAAAGAAAATATGCTTCAACTATTTTATCCAAGTGGGGCCCAGCAGATGGCATGGTGATTAAGGCATTGAATTCCCACATGGCTGACCATGGTTCAAGTTCTGGACTGGGTGGTTCAAAAATTACACTGGGCATTGGGACCAGCAGTTAGTGTAATGGCTATGTCGCTGGACTCCCATGTAGTCGACAGCGGTTCGAGTCCCAGACCCGGTGGCTTAAACTCATGCTGGGCGCGTGTGCATGTGTGCCCAAGATCCTGAGAGGAGAATGGAGGAGAAGGGATTGCGGCGTGACCATGCCCCCCTGGGGAGGGTGATATCTCGCTTTCTGTCTCTCTGTCTCTCTCTGTCTGTCTGGTGAGCGCATGCACCCTATAGCAAAAACCTCTCAAAAAAAATAAAAATTACACTGGGCGTGTGTGCATGCGTGCACAAAACCCTGAGAAGGGATTGTGGCATGGCTATCCCCCCAGGGGTTGATTTCTCACTTTCTAGCTGTCTCTTTGGTGAGTACATGTGCTCTATGGCAAAAACCCCAAAAAAATCAACGACAAAAAATTTTAAAGCATTATGAAAGAGTTATTTATTTAATTGTATTTATTATCATCATTATTTTTTTAAAATTTGCTACAGGGCACATGAGACAGAAAGAGAAGGAAAGTGAGAAAGTAAGCACCAAGTCCAAGACTCAAACCATAGTCAGCCGTGTAGGAACCCAGTGCTTTAACTACCACGCCACCTATTGGTTCCAAAACCAAAGAATTTTGACAGAGTAGTTTCCTCTTGAGAAGAGAAGCTAGTAGGAAAGATTCAGAAGGAATAAGCAGGCAGTTTTAACAGTTTTGATAATGTTCTGCTTCTTAAGTTACCCAGCAAATTTCATGAGTATTTATTATTACAGTTAGCATATTATGTTTAGCATTACAGATTTTTTTCATGTATCAAGTTATTATGTACCAATAGGTTAATTTGATAAAATTATGAACACTCAGACTATGGTGAGGCTCTAAGAGAAAAGAAAAGAACAAGACATCCATTACCAGCTTTTCTTAGGGGCTGGCAGGTGGCATGGTGGTCAAGGGCACTGGACTCCCACATGGCTGACCTTGGTTCAAGTTCCAAACCTAGCAGCTCACTTTCTTGCTTTCTCTAATTCACTCTCTCGCTGTCCCGCTCTGGTCAAATTTTTTAAAAATAAATAAACAAAGTTAAATAAAATAATTATTTTCTTTAAAAAAGAGTTCTTAATAATTTGGCTAATGAAGTTAATAGACCTGTTTTGCTTTATAATTCCAAAATACCCTGAAATGTTTCATAAAAGCCACTTCTTTTGTAGAGTAATCACATGACAGAGTAACATTTCATGCCTTTCCATATTTTGTAGTGTTAAATTATCAACATTCTTTTTTGGTAGTCATTTAGTTTGAATACTCAGAAGAAATCATTAGATGTAGGATTTTCTTACTGTGTCCAAGGAAAGTAAATCATCTTTGCTCCCACCAAATACCATTATTTCATTTTCTTTTCCCAAACAGGCTGTGTGCCATAACCTATGATTGAAGATTAAAAACAGAGTGAAATATTATCAAGGAAGAAACTGTATATTACATATTGATCATTCTAAATCACACACTTTAAAATTGAATCAATTTCAAAGGAGGCATGATTGAACTAGAATCTCCATTATATCCTCAAAGGAGTTAGATTTTAAAGATTTTTCTAGAGTTCACCAAGTCACATCGTTTCAATGAAGGAGATTAGTCCTAATAATTCTCTATTATACCCTCTAACTTTTTCTAACCCCTTCATCTCATATATATTATCCTTGAAATAAAAGAAATTAAAAAGGAACTGACTACTTTACTGCTGAAACAGGTGCCTTGCCCAGTTTTCTTATGTCCCGTTACTGCTCTCATCATTTCTGCTTCCCTGTCCAGCTCTCTGTTCCCACCATCAGATCCTCACAGATCCAAGCTGCGCTTCCTTCATGTTCCCATCAACACACTCTCATCACTCCAGGTGCAGAACACCACCACAGGCTCCCAGTAGGCTTCTGTCTCTAATCTCCCCTAACTACATACAGATAATAAACGATATTTTTCAAATATTATTTTTAACCGTGGAAATTTCCTGACAAAAAAGCATCTATACGGCCAATAGCCATTTCCGTAGTCCATTATTTACAATCAAATGCTTTCTTTCCCCCACAAATCTTGCCTTTCCCCTAAGAAGTCTGCTACTTCAACCAATTTCATTTACTTGCTTCCCCTAAGAGAAAAGCTCCTATCTACCTGTAGGCTCTTGTTCACCTTGTTTCTTATGCTTAGAATAAGCCACTCTCTCAGGGCCTTAGAAACAGGCTTAAGCCCCTCAGGGAGCACTCCAGATACCCTACCAGGGTAGGTTCTGTTACCATTGTTCACTAGCAACCTTTAAGATTTACATGCTCATTTTACACTCTCCTAGGTAACAATTGAAGATAAACTGCCCTGGACACTACTTTGTTTTCTGTGTGTGTTTTCTAGCTACCTAAGGAAATTATGAGGTCCGAAATTGCCAGTGTGTGGCAGACCCGGCTTCCTGAGTAGCTTAAGCCGATGTGTGTAGCTCCATTCAACTCCATGCTCACTTTCACACCAGCAGCTTGAAATCAGCTATGGGAACTGTATTTACACCTTGAACATCAGCAAATGCTACACATTGGAGCTTTTGGCCTGCTGGAGAGCGGTGTTAACCGTTTACCAGCACATCATTAGAATTTAGGTAATTTAATTTTATGCTTCACCTTAAATTGTGTTAATATGGTGTTCTGTAACCAGTAGAAAAATTTTGGTTAACAAAAGCAATCACAAATTGCTGATATAATTTATTCAGTGATTTAATACACACATCCTTTCATAAGGGGTAGAAAATCTAATGTTATTATAGAAGTAGTCTGATATCACTTATCCATCTCCAAGTTCATATTATTTAATGAGAATGAGTATGGTTTTATAAAGTTCAATATTTTGGGAGCTCTGTCAGAAAAATGTACATGTGAATTTTTCAATATTAGATGATAAATGGAGGATTTTATAAAGTCATTGCTTTGACTCTGAGAGTCCTTTGATTACTTTTCTTAATAGACCAAATTGCTAAATCAACATATGCCCCTAACAATTACACATTATCATTTGTTACCACATAATCTATTTTTAGTACATTAATCCCTTTTACTTCATTTCCAAGTACAAACAGGGGGATTATGCACAATCTGTTAAACCAAACACTTTCCTCAGACAATCATGCACACAGTCAATGACACGTGCACTTGCAGCCCGGGGTAGAGCTAAGTCCAACAGATGTTACTCGGGAGATACTCTGCCCGATTCTCCGACTCATGTGTTACAACGTACAGTCATATACACTGCCGGCAAGAACCCAAGTTGTGTTGTGGGGATGGGGACTGGAAGAGGGAGAGAGATTACAATGAATGCTCTCCTTTATGGGAAGAAATAATTTCTGGGAGAGAAGGCCATGCATACTCATAGGATCCACCAGTACTTCAGGCTCTATAAGCAATTCTTTATACAACGTTCTTTACACACAACTAAAAAAGGGTCCTTGCCGACAGTCACTTCTGCAGCTTATCAGATATGACTCTGTAGGTGGCTTTTCAACCAAGCACAGTTTTTTTTTTTTTTTTTTAAATTAATTTTTTTTTTTTTTTGGAGAGATTTTCACTGTAGGGCGCGTGCGCTCACCAGACAGACAGAGAGAGACATAGAGACAGAAAGCGAGAAATCACCCCCCAGGGGGGATGGTCACGCCGCAATCCCTTCTCCTCCATTCTCCTCTCGGGATCTTGGGCACGCACGCACACGCGCCCGGCGTGAGTTTTAAGCCACCGGGTCTGGGACACGAACCGCGGTCGACTACGTGGGAGTCCAGCGACATAGCCATTACGCTAACTGCTGGTTCCCAACCAAGCACAGTTTTTAAATGAAGATGAGTCCTGGAAAAGAGACCGCTACAGTGTAGAACAGTGGTCCTCAGCCAGGGGGGATGTATTCCCCAAGGGGACGCCTGACAATATCTGCTGGTATTTTGGGTTGTCATAATTTAGGGAAAATGAAGGTAGTGCCACTGCTATCACAGAGGTAAAGGCCAGGAGAGCTGCTAAAGATCCTGGAGTGCACAGGACACCCCTAATGTCAGTAGTGCTGAGGTTGAAAACCTGCTATAGAGTACTAAGGAGAATTGGGCAGCTTACATTTCAAACAACAACTTGGGAAAGTTTACACAAAATGCATTCAGATGTTTACTACATTGTCAATTGCATTTAAAAAAATGAGTATATACATATATAGAAACACACATATATGTTCTCCTTACACTCAACTGTATCCCACCTGTCCTCCTCACCTCAGACCTGAAGATAGATCTGTCTGTCTTATCTGCCTTAGGGAAACTGGCCTGGACTTCATCATCGAAGAACACTGGCAAGCCTTTCCTGCCTCGATCTGGTGGCATCTAGCTTGCAACCTGATGTTTTTTCTACAGACTGACAGTTTCTGTCCTCTCACAGCTGTTCTAAACTTATCACCTAAACATTCTAATAAAGCATATTATTTACATCAGCTGAATGAAAAGAAATCTCTTTACATAGCTCTAGTTCTAACTAGTATATTATCAATAATAGTCATATTACTGCACACATTAAGGGTTCAAATATAAAATAGTAATCATTTAAAAGTTAAATATATTTTCATACTACTTTGGTCAATAATTAATGCATTTATACAATCAAACAACTGGAAGAAACTAAGAGGTTATCTAACCCAACTCTACCGTTTCACAGGTAAATTAACTGGTGCTCAGATTCTTTAAGTGACTTCAAAGCCAAAAAAATTAAGCAGTAGCTGAGCAGCAACTAGAACTCTGGGCTCTCATATTCTAATAGCTATAAAACTCTTTTAAATGAACAACAACAACAAAATATATATATATTTAAAGAGCCAGAGTGTTAACACATTCCAATGAATTTTTATACATGAAGATGTAAGCATCATCACATTTAATAAACATTAAATATATTATGAATATTAATATAGATATGCACACCAAAAGTATATAAATATTTGAGGTCTTTATCTCAAGTAAGTTACTTGTCACTTGTTAAATAACAAAAACACATCATTAAATTGATTTCGCACTAGTATAATCATTATTTTTAAAAAAATTCTGAAATATATGGCATAAAAAATCTATTACTGACAATAATTATTATAATGTGCTAAATCTAAATTTATTATACTTTTAATCAAATTAGAAAAAGGTAAGAATTAAATTAACAATAGGATTTACTTTACAGTCTAATATTAATATATTGTTTCTACATTTTAAAAAATTCTACAATATACCACAAACAACTAAGACATTTTCTGTTTTTTAAAAGAAATTTCAGAGCCAGCTGGTGGCATGGTGGTTGAGGTGGCTGGATCCCTCATGGCAGCCTTGTGGTCCGAGTCCCAGACCTGGCTGTGCAAGGTGTACGTGTGTAAGTGTGTGTCCAAAATCCTGAGATGAGAATGGAAGAGAAGGGACTGTGGCATAACCATCCCCCCAGGGGGGTGATTTCTCACTTTCTAGTTCTCTCTTTCTCGTGTGGCATGGCATCCCCCTTAGGGGGTGTTTTCTTGCTCACTCACTCCCTCACTCTCTCTGTCAGACAAGCACAGACACCCTATAGCAAATTAAAAAAAAAAAATCACATTGCCTAGCCAGTGCTTGGTGATTAAGGCGGCTGGATCCCACATGACTGTATAGTTCAAGTCCCAGACTTGGCAGCTTGAAAAACATGACAGGCATGTGTGAGTGCATGCCCAAAATCCTGAAAGGAGGGAAAGACAGAAGAGAAGGGATTGTGGCATGACCAGTCCTCATGGGGGGCGCTTTCTCTATTTTACTTCCTCTCTTTATCTCTCTCCAGCACAAATACCATCTCGAAAATTTTAAAAATTCACCTTAGTTGTCAGCAGATGGCATGGAGGGTTAGGGCGCTGGACTCAGGTGCTGACCATGGTTCAAGTACCAGACCTGGTGACTTACTTTCTCACTTTCCTTCTCTTTCTCTTTGGTCAAATTAAAAATAATAACAATAATAAATGAAATTAAATAAATTGTTAAATTCACATTAAAGAATACATTAATAATCTTCCATTTTCTCAATCAACATAAAAGCAAAATTTTTCTTTTTTTTTAAGTTTTGTTATTGGGTATGTGTGCTCACCAGAGAGAGCGAGAAGCAGAAAAGTGAGAAATCATCCCCTAAAGGGATGGCCATGCCATAGTCCCTTCTCCTTCAGTCTCCTCTTGGGATTTTGGGCACACATACACATGCTCAGAGTGATTTTTTTTTTTTTTTGAGAGGTTTATGCTATAGGGCGCATGCGCTTGCCAGACAGACAGAGACAGAGAGATAGAAAGCAAGAAATCACCCCCCAGGGGGATAGCCATCCCACGCCGCAATCCCTTCTCCTCCATTCTCCTCTCAGGATCTTGGGCATGCACACACACATGCCCGGCGTAAGTTTTAAGCCACCAGGTCCCACAGCCGACTACATGGGAGCCCAATGACATAGCCATTACACTAACTGCTGGTCTCACTCAGAGTGATTTTCAAGATGCTGAGTCCAGGACTCAAACCTCACAGCCAGCCATGTGGGAGCCAGTGTTGTAATCTCCATGCCACCTGCTGGCCCAAAAGCAAAATTTCATATTTAACTGTATTAAACATCTTCCAAAAACAAATATCTACTATTAAAGCCAAAAGATAACCTTATATGAAATTTTCAATTCTCTTACTCTTGTCATATTTATCAGGCAAGATTATGTATTTACCTAAAAACAATTTTCAAATATGCAAACATGGGTAGAAACTAGATAGATCCTTTTTTTAAATCAGACATAATTAAAATGATAATTAATTTAGGTAACATCAAGCTTATTTGAAAGATAGGCTCTCTGATGATTTATTATTTCAATAGCAAACATTATAAAGTCAGTGCTGTATTTTAATACTTTACAAATTCTTAACTATTTTACTATTTGTCAACTCTTAGACTTACCGAGGTCTGGTTTTAGGTAAATGTGTAAGTTGTTTCCAACAATTTGTTATGACATTATGAATCCAACCATCACCTGTAATAATGACAGTTCAAAAATTAAGAGTAGGTCTTTGGAATAAATTTTTATTCTAATTTTTTGAAAAGAATTATTTTTATTTATTATAATTATTTTAATTTGACCAGAAAGAGACAGAGATTGAGAGGGAAAGTGAGAAAGCAAGCCACCAGGTCCAGAACTTGAACCGCAGCTGGACACGTGGGAGTCTAGCACCTTAACCACCATGCAACTTACCAGCCCCTGGGGTAAAATTTTAATTATTTTCCAAATGTATCTTGTACATTTATATGACTAACTCTTGTGTGTATGCATATTTTACTATGATCATTCTCAAACCTATACAAAAGTAGGCTGAAAAGATAAATGAATCTTGACCTAATCCAGATTCAACATCTATCAAGATTTTACCACATGTGCTTCATTTATCTTTCTTTATTTTTTAAAATTTTGCCAGAGGGCATGTGTACTTGTCAGAGAGACTCAGAGAAAGTGGGGGAAGTGAGAATGCATCCCACGGGGCATAGTTACACTGCAATCACTTCTCCATCTCTGCTTCCCTTCTGGATTTAGGGCATAGGTCCACACATAGGTCCAGTGTGTTTTGGGGATTTTTTTTTGGAGAGAGATTTTTGCTATAGAGCGCATGTGCTCACCAGCAAAACAGAGAGACAGAAAGTGAGAAGTCATCCCTCAGCGGTGATAACCACACTGCAATCCCTTCTCCTCCATTCTCCTCTTGGGATTTTGGGCACGCATGCACATGTGCATGGTATAAGTTTTAAGATGCCGAGTCTGGGACTTGAACCACGCTCAAGTGGTTTGAGTGGGAGTTCAGTGATGTAATCATTACACCACACCATCTGCTGTTCCTGGTCCAGTGCCTTTTTTTTTTTTTTTCACTGTTCACACTTATATTTCAAGTTTGGAAATGCATATTTGCAAGCGGCAGCACAAAAGTATTAATGGAGAATGCATAATCTCTGAAAATTATGAAAACATCTCTACTACCAATACATTTCTAAATACAAAACTGATTTTAACAAATATCTGTTACTTCTGTGTAGTGAGAGAAGTTCATTTTCAAAATAGATAAAATTCAGTCTTTAGGTGTGAATGGTATAACTGACAGTCCCTTTTTTTTTTTTTTTTAATTTCTTAGTTGTTTGGGATACTTAAGCATGCAAAAGCTTTGAACGAGAGGGTCCACAATGGAACCAGGACTGTCTAATGACACCCAGTCAAGCCACTGGTTAGAGATTCGAACAGCATGGTCGATCATATGGGATCCAGCTGCCTTAACCACTATGCTCCAGGCTGGCTCCTTCATGTTATCCTTATTGCTGAATTTTGGTAAATCAAATCTTAGATCTCCTATTATTTCCCCTATACATATGTATTCCTTTTTTTTTTTTTTAAGTAAAATTCACAATGCAATTATCATGGTCAACAAAATTAAAAAATAATTTCTTGGAGTTGTCTAATACCCTATGACCAAATCTTGAGCTAAGTCTGTAAGGAAGGAAACTAAGAGTTGGACATTTAATTTCCCATAGGTCAATATTAAACAAACAAACAAACAAACAAACAACAGCAAACAAATTAAAAACACTAGATCTAGGGGCTGGCAGGTGGTGTGGTGGATAAGGGTGCTGGATTCCCACATGGCTGACCACAGTTCGAATCCTGGACCTGGTGGCTTGCTTTCTCACTTTCTCTCTCTCTCTGTCTTTCACTCTGTCCCTCTCTGGTCAAATTAATAAATAAATACAGTTAAATAAAATAATGTTTATAAAAAACACTAGATCTCATGAAGATATTAACAGCCCTAGTGAAATAAACAAGTGATAGTTTTGATCAGATGCCAAATCTCTTATTCTTTTTTTAAAAGAATTATTTAATTTTATTATTATTATTATTATTATTATTATTTTAAATTTGTGTGCAGTTGAGTCTTGGACCTGGAGGCTTGAAAAGCACACTGGGTGGGTATGCATGAATGCCCAAGATCCCAGGTGCAAAATGGAGGACAAGGGATTGCAGCATAACCATCCCCCCATGGGGGGGTGGTGATTTCTCATTTTCCTTCTTTCCCTCTCTCTGGTGAGTGCAGGTGCCCAATGGCAAAAAAAATAAAAAAATAAAAATAATAATAAAAAATCTGCCAGGATTACTAACATGCTCTACTAGGAACTGTTGCTTCTCCAACCTTTCTCTGGAGTTTGCTTGGTGGCCATCAGATTGCCAAATACACAGCTGATGTTCAAAATACATTTGTTGAAATGAACAGCTGCTTCCCGATCCTACATGAAGTTATTTAAGTGGTTTTAATGGTATATAAAATTTCTTGATGACAATATCTCTAGGTATAGAAAATATCTGGGTCAGGAAAATACAACACATCTCACATGTCAACTTATAAAGTGGAGGTTCTTGGTCATTTGTCTATCCTGTGGCCACAGTCTTACTAAAGGGAAAACTATTCTAAACCCCACCGCCATTGGAAGCAGCAGTGATAGGAGATAAACACTCTAGCTGAGCACTGCCTTTACAGCTCCGGAACAAAAGGAGAAGCAACTGTCTTCCCCACCTTATGTTTCCAGAGCCTTCTAGGACAGGCAGTTCTTCTAATTCCCATGTTAGCCTACGGTATTAATGTTGGGATCAAGGCCCAAGAGGACACAGAATCACAGAGTACAACAGTGGAAAGAGGCTTCATGCACTTAGGTTCAACCACCCTCCCTCTTCTCTGAATCTAGGAAACAGAGACATGGACAGCCAAGGTTACAAAGGCAAAGGGTCTTTCCCTCTATTCTTAGTATACACATACAGTTGGGGATAAAGGCAAGCCAAGAAAACAGGAGAAAAGGAAGACTGACTTCACTGTTAGTATGGAATACAAATGAGAAAAAAAGATTCAGACCTAAGTTACCATAGGCTGAACTTTAACTGACTTACTTAATGGAACATTATCTGTACTTAGTCCACCAAATAAGAAAAGCTTATCATCAGCTATTGGTGTTAAAGTATGCCATGATCGATGTTTTGGGCTTTCTCCATTAATAGAAATCCTGTGGCAAAAGGAAAACAAAAATTAGGTGTAGTGTTTGCCGAAAGTAAAGGTTTTTGATCATCTCAGATTTTACAGAAAAACAAAACAAAAAAACCTGCTCCCACCACTCTGAAAAAAAGTTGACTTACTAGTACTACCTGAATAAATGTTTGTTAAATTTTTAGATGAATTTAAACTGTTTCCATTTAATGTCTATTCCACCAGACCACAGAACACAGTATTCTATATTAGATGTATAAGAATGGAGGGGCTGACAGGCGGCATGGTGGTTAAAGGCGCTGGTCTCTCACATGGCCAACCATAGTTCAAGTCCTGGACCTGGTGCTTGCTTTTTCACTTTCCCTCTCTCTTTCTCTGTCTCTCTCTGATCAAACTGGAAAATAATAATAATAATAAATAAAATAAAATAAAACAATTATTTTTTTAAAAGAACAGAATATATTCTCTTCAGAAAGGGAAAAAATAGCAGTTCAGTTTTAGGAACACAAATTTGGATTATAGCACTCCCCCTACACACATATACACACATAAATGCCTATAGATTAAAATGTATTTAGATTCCAAACTTACCTTCCAGACCAAGTCCAGGTATCTAAAGTTAGACAGTGCAAATCATTCATCCTAGTTTGCTAAAATAAAAGTGTGTTAAATTGGTCAATATTTTACAAACTTTATGGGCTGAAAATTTAATTTTAACATAGTTCAGATTAAAAAATAAGATTATTTTTACTTAGTATCAGAAGCTTAAATATTGTGAAACAATGCTAAACATTAATAAATTAACAAAATATCCAAAAAATTAATGTGTCAAGGGAGAAAGGAAGAAGTGAATTTTAAAATAACAGGATTTAGATAACAAGAAGTAAACTTTCTGATACTGTATGGAAGTGAGAAGTTCTCCACACTAAAATACAATTTATTATAGAGATTGTTCATTATAGTCTGTTGGAGAAGTGGAAGTTAAATAAAAGTTAAAAATTGAATGATAATCTCTACAGCATCTGAATGCTTGATTGTTCCACAAAACCCAGAAGATACGTTTTTATAGGAAGCATCACACATAAAAATGCCATTTTCCTTAAAAATACTAACCAAAACACGTCCTCCAAAGACATAGCCCTTATTTCCAAGAACAGCACACGTATGTGCAGCTCGGGGCTGCGGTGGGACTCCACCCTGCAAGCAGAGATCAGCACAGAGTGAAAAGACTTGAAATGTTTGTGGTAACGTCACATTTCTATGCTCAGTGTAAGAAATATTTGATCACTTAGTTACCATTACCTATATAATGCAATTACAAACTCTAATGCAAAAGATCATTCTAAATAGCAGTAATTATAGACAAACACTGTTTTCCAAGAATAAAATTTAGGGCTAGCCCTGTAACTCAGCGATTAAGAGCACCAGATCTCTTACATAGCTGACTACAGTCAAATCCCAGCCATAGCAGCTTAAAAACTACACTGGGTGCCTATGTACGTGTGTTCAAAATCCTGACAAGGAGGAGTGGAGAAAAAATGACTGCATTGTGACCACACTCCACTGGGGGTAAGGTGTGTGTGTGTGTGTGTGTGTCTTTCTGGTCCGTGCTTGTGCCTTCCAGCAACTAATAATAATAATAATAATAATTATGACAGGGCCAGTAGGTGGTGTGGTAGTTAAGGTGCTGGATTGCCATATGGCTGACCATGGTTCAAGTCCTGGACCAGTGGCTTGAAAATCATGCCAGGTGTGTATGCATGTGTGTCCAAAATCCTGACAGAATGGAGAAGGGATTGCAGCATGAGTATCCCACCTGGGGGGCGGGGGGTGATTTCTCCCTTTCCTTCTCTCCATTTCTCCCTGTCTCTCTATGGCAAGTACATGCTCCTTATGGCAAAAACCTAAAAAAAAAAAAAAAAAAAAAGCAAGTAAGTGATATATTAGTGTAGTAACTAAAAATGTCTGCCATTTCTATGATTAAAGTTAAATAGAGTGGTATTCATTTAAAAATTTATTTTCCCTGATTTTTATGATTTTTATTTATTTATTAGGTTGTTAGAAATGTCATGATGGGGCTGGCATGTGGCATGGTGGTTAAGGGTGCTGGACTCCCACATGGCCGATCATAGTTCGAGTCCCAGATCTGGTGGCTTTCTTTCTCTCTCTCTGTCTCCCTCCCTCCCTTTTTGATCAAATATAAATAAATAAAATAAAATTAAGTAAAATAATTCTTTTTAAAAAGTCAGGATGTATTTTTTTCTATGTTTTTCTGTGCAAAAATACATCATAATCTTTCTGACAACCCAATGTTTCTTTCTCTTTTTCTTATAGGGTGCATGTGCTCAGACAGAGAGAGAGAAAGTGAGAAGTCATTTCCCAGTGGGATGGCCACACTGCAATCCCTTCTTCTATGCTCTCCTCTCAGGATTTTTGGCACACACGCACACCTGCGTGGCATGTTTTTCTTTTTTTTTTTGAAGAGGTTTTTGCTATAGGGCGCGTGCGCTCACCAGACAGAGAGAGACAGAGAGATAGAAAGCGAGAAATCACCCCCCCAGGGGGGATGGCCAAGCCGCAATCCCTTCTCTTCCATTCTCCTCTGGGGATCTTGGGTACGCACGCACACGCGCCTGGTGTGAGTTTAAGCCACTGGGTCCGGGACTCAAATCGTGGTCGACCACGTGGGAGTCCAGCGACTTAGCCATTACGCTAACTGCTGGTCCCCCCGTGGCATGTTTTTGAACTCACCGAGTCAGGGATTTGAACCATGCAGTTGGCCATGTGGGATCCCAATGCCTTAACCATCACACCACCTGGCTGACCACTGGTCTTTGTTTTTAAGTGTTCTTCTTAAATGTCTGACAGTATTTAGCAAAATAAGATTTTATGTAAATTTAAAGTTGAAAGGTAAGGATTTTAAAAACCAAACTAAAAGGCCAGGTGGTGGTGCAGTGATAGTGCCCTCCAGATAGACAGGGGCTTGGTTTCACATCCTGGGACACCCACACATGTGGCTTGCTTTCTATCTCTCTGTCTTTCTCTGTCTCTCCTCTTTTTTGCATGTGCCCATAGCAAAAATCTCCCTAAAAAAAAAAAAAAAAGAAAAGAATTTATTTGAGGACATCATCAGGGAAATAACAGTGAAAATATCACTAAATACCAACTAAAAATCCTCTTGTGCATGTAAGACTGGAGCAGAAGGTGGGGAGAAATCCTGGGTAAGGTAAGGAGTCAGGGAAAGACCTGAAGTCCAAAGAACTGATGGTAAACTACTTCAGCGCCTTCAACTGCTGGTGCATATTCTAAAAATATGACATCAGCAGCTCTAGATCCCTGCATGCTCTCTATGGAAGTAGGGAGCCAAGAGGCCCAAAAGAGATTTAAGATTAGTTTCCGTAGACTCAGTCTCAGTATTTCTCTCCACCTGCTTGCTGACCACCTGCTTGCTGACACAAAATTACCTTAACAGGCAAAATTCATTTTATTAATAAAAGACACAGATCTTTTAAAAAATTTTTTAGGTTTTTGCCATAGGGTTTCTGTGCTCATCAGAGAGAGACACAGAGATGAAAAGTGAGAAATTACCCCTGGGAAGATGGCTATATTGCAATCCCTTCTCCATTCTCCTTTGGGATTTTGGGCACATACATGCGTCTGATGTGATTTTCAAGCCACTGAGTCTGGGGCTCAAACCATGATCACCACGTGGTAGTCCAGCACTTTTACCACTATGCCACCTACTGGCCCCAAAAGTCACAAATCTTAAAATTCAAATGCTTATTGAAAGAAAATTCAATAGGAAGTATTTATGATTGACAGTTGATCAGTTCTAAAATTAGAAACATGGTGAAGGATACAGAAGAGCACTGAAAACCTGAAATTCACTGCTTAGAAAATGAAGCTGCAGGGGCCAGCAGATAGCATAGTGGTAAGGCACTGGATTCTCGTAGTTGACTGTGGTTCAAGACCCAGACCTGGCAGTTTATGCCAGGTGTGTGTGCATGCCTGCCCAAAATCCTGAGAGGAGAATGAAGGAAAAGGGGTTGTGGCGTGACCATCTCCCCTGAGGGGTGATTTCTCGCTTTATGTCTGTCTCTCTGGTGAACACACACACCCTACAGCAAAAATCTCTCCCTTTAAAAAAAAAAGAAAAGAAAATGAAGGTACAGATAAGGGTCAAACTTGGATCACTTACTGCTTTGCTTAGAACTTGCTATTGTTTTCACCAACAAAGGACAGACTGTAAGGGACATCAGTCATATCCGTATGAGTGGAAAGTGTCAATACTGCCTGCCCAGCTGTCTCCTCTGTTCACTTCTAGTGAACTCATCAGTCACAATACTCTGCTTCCCCTAGAGGATGGACATGTCACTCAAGATGGACCGATCATCCTCTTGTCACCAAGGATGGCAGTTAAGAGCGGGAATCGGTTTAGTCACTGTGACACAGTGGTAGCACCAGTCGCTGGTTTGGATCCCTGGTCAGCCTGAACACCATGCTGGTACATGCAAGGGTGCCCAGGTTCCTGAGGAGCCAGAGGGCTAGGAAAAGGGGGTCGTGGCATGATAAGACCCTGTCAAGGGTGCTTTCTTTCTCTGTCTCACGTGCACGCCTGCACTTCCCATCATAAAAAGGAAGAAGAAAAAAGTGGGCACACGCCCAGTACAGTCAGTCCTTTTGTAGAACTAATACATAGACGTTGAGGGAGTACAATAAAAAGTAGCTTGTGTGTGGACCAGCAGATGGCGCAGTGGTTACGTCACTGGACTCTCATGTGGTGGAGTGCAGTTCAAGTTCCAGACCTGGCGACTTAAAACTCACACTGGGCACATGTGCATGTGTACTCAAAATTCCAAGAGGAGAATGGAGGAGAAGTGATTGTGGCGTGCCCATCCCCCAAGGGGGGTGATATCTCACTTTCTGTCTCTCTGTCTCTTTCTGTCTTTCCAGTGAGCACACAAGTCTTCTACAGTAAAAATCTCTTTTTAAAAAAATTGTGGCTGGCAGGTAGCATGGTGGCTGGGGATGCTGGACTCCCATATGGCTGACCATGGTTCAAGTCCTGGTGGTTTGCTTTCTCACTTTCCCTCTCTCTGGTCAAATTAAAATAATAATAATGATAATGATAATGATAAATAAAGTTGAATTTTAAAAATGTAGCTTGTGTAGCTGGGCCCACACTGCCTAAATGAGCTAGCTGGTCTGCAGGAGATGGAATGAAGCAAGTACACAAAGAAAAACAAGGAGAAGCAGACAAAGCAAGACAGAAGGAACTGAGACAGTGTGGGTGGAAGGCACTGGGATAGTGTAGACAGCAGGTGCTGTGATAAAGAATGAAGATGCCATCTCTTGACGAGATTTTTTTCTTAGAAAAACCTCAGTTGATCTGGAAGGAAAAAATGATTTCTTAACAAATGGTATTGGTGACAGAACTCAAGAGAACCACTTTACATGTGATTATAAACTGAACTACTAAAGTCCAAATAGTAAGAAGATAGATTTTAAAAAGCAGCAATGAGGGAACCAGCAGTTAGCGTAATGGCTGTCACTGGACTCCCACGTAGTCGACCGTGGTTCGCATCCTGGACCTGGTGGCTTAAAACTCACGCCGGGCGCGTGTGCGTGCCCAAGATCCCGAGAGGAGAATGGAGGAGAAGAGATTGCGGCGTGACCATCCCCCCTGGGGGGTGATTTCTCACTTTCTGTCTCTCTATCTCTCTCTGTCTGTCTGGCGAGCGCACACGCCCTATAGTGAAAATCTCTCCACACACACACACACACAAAAGCAGCAATGAGTATGATAATAGAACTTTTTACGGCACTTACTTTAATTTCTGGTTGAAACCAAGTTTGTGTCTTTGTGTCAAATACGTGGACATCATTATGCCATCCCCAGAACATCTGCTCTTCCTAAAACAGAAATGTTTAAAAATATAGGAGCTTTTATAATTTTTACATTACTGCTAACAGTTTTGTTATATGTTTAACAGTAAACTAATAAACACCTTTACAAAAATGTAATTGTGTCCCCGGGGTCATAAAGCTAATGCACACGCTGGGGCCTCAGCAGGTGCGGTCTGCAGACCAGGAGCAGCGGCACCTGGCAACTTCTCCTCTCAGTGCCATTGGCCGTAAGTCAGAGGCATAAAAGAGAGCGACTATCTTTCAATTCTCTCAAAGGACTGTCTCTTTTAAAATGACGGAAGGTAGAATAATATTTGTATTTTAAAATCTGTTTTCCTAAGGCACAGGCTCAGAATTCCTAATCTTTGCTATTAAAAAAAGCTTTAGAGGCACCAACAGATGGCATAATGTCTTGTTTATATCACTGGACTCCCACATAGTTGAACTGTCTTGGTTACATCACTGGACTCCCACATAGTTGACTGCGGTTCGAGTCCTGGACCCAACAGCTTAAAACTCACACCAGGCATGTGTGCATGCATGCCCAAGATCCTGAGAGGAGAATGAAGGAGAAGGGACTGCAGCATGGCCAATCCCCTAGGGGTGATTTCTTGCCTTTTCTCTGTCTCTCTGACAAGCACACGTGCCGCAAAGTAAAAAAATCTCTCTCTTGAAAAAAAAAGAAAAAAGAAAAAAAGAACTTTAGAAGGCCAAGGTTCCTTTCTCCAAGAAGTGCCAGTGCCTTCTACTTCACCAAATTACTTGTTCTTACAAGTCAAACTCATGCCCACCCTCTTCTTTGTCTTCTGAGAGATAAAATTCTTTGTCATCAAAGCAGAGACTTAGCAGTTACAGAGTACTGTGCTTGGCATCCCGCAGGCTGCTGAAACCCTCCATCAGTACTCTGGCTTATCTGGGTGCCAGTTTGCATTCTATGTCAGAAATACATCACCTGTTGTCGAGCAAGTCAAACCAACCGAAAGGTTTACTTAGTTTAGAATGTAAATGAAAAAACTACTTGTACTCCAGAAACTTCAGAACATGTTCATTAGTTTAACTAACTGCACTAGGGGAGGAAAACTAGTCATTTCAATGATGAGTAAAAAGTAATCTGGAAAAAGAAGATATAAATATATTAGAAATAGCGAAATTATATTCCTAAAAATTATCAGTAATACTTTATCTTTAGGCTTTTAAGAACTCAAAAATCACATAGAAAGGTGGAGACTAAAAATATCTATATAAAGTGATATACATGAAATGTATATATACATTCACATTAATAACCTACAGTAAGGGGCTGGCAGGTGGTGTGGCAGATAAGGATGCTGCACTTCCACATGGTTGACTGTGTTCAAGTCTGGGGCCTGGCAGCTTGTTTTCTCTCTTTCTCTCTCTCTCTCTCACTCTCGCTCTCGCTCCGTCTCTCTCTGATAAAATAAATATAAATGAATAAATAAAGTTAAACGAAATAATTCTATTTTAAAAAACTACAATAATTGGGACCAGCAAATGGCATAACAGTTACATTGCTGGATTCCCACATAGTCAATTACAGTTTGAGTCCCAGATCTGGTGGCTTAAAACTCATGCTGGGACTGTGTGCATGTGTCCCCAAAATCCCAAGAGGAGAATGGAGGAGAAGGGGCTGTGGCATGGCCATCCCACCAGGGGGTGACTTTTTGCTTTCTATCACTCATTCTCTGTCTCTGGCAAGCACACACTGCTTATAGTAGAAAAAGAAAAAAAATCTCTCTCTCTAAAAAAGTGAATCTACAGTAATAATATATGCTAGTAGAAGGTAAAGTGAAAAGACTATGTACTTTGGTAGTAGGACCAATGGTCTTTTTTTATGTGAAAATAATGATTTAATGACTATAAGCAAGACAAAGCAATAGAATTGTGCTTCTTTTGCAGTTAGCTACAATTTTCCCACACAAACATGAAACAATAGTCATATAAACATCCTCACAAGTAACTGATGAGTAATGAACACACGCCAAGTTCGACCAAAGCAAAACACAAACTGAAAATTGTTGGGCTGTACTGTAGATTCAACATGCTTGCTCTATTTAAAAATACCTGTAGAAGCTCATGATAAATTGCTCCTAATTTCCAGACATTACGGAGAAGGCATATTCAATGAACTGTTAAAGCAACTTTTAAATTTGAAAGTATCATCATACCACATATTAAAATAATTTTAAATAAAATGCCTTCTTCCAGCAAATTGCTGGTTTATCTAAAAATGTTTTAGAATTACAGTGATCAATAGATATTTTAAAAACACATTAATTCCACTATAACCAATGAAAAATTAAGACACTATTTTTATATTCCTTAATTAGAAGTTTCTCTTCACTGCAACAATTTAAAAAGTAAACATATGTTACTGGAGAAAAATCAGTATTATAATGATTTGCCAATTGCTTAGAAGGGAACAGAATTTAAAATTAGGTATCAACATTAAAATATGATGGACTCTGTCTTTCTGGTGAGCGCACGTGCCCTATAGCGAAAACCTCTCCAAAAAAAAAAAAAAAGGGATCAGCAGTTAGCTTAATGGCTATGTCGCTGGACTCCCACGTAGTCGACCGCAGTTCGAGACCCAGACTCCGTGGCTTAAACTCACGCCAGGTACATGTGCGTGTGTGCCCAAGATCCCGAGAGGAGAATGAAGAAGGGATTGCGGCGTGGCCATCCCCCCTGGGGGGTGATTTCTCGCTTTCTGTCTCTCTGTCTCTCTCTCTCTGTCTGGCGAGCGCACGTGCCCTATAGCGAAAACCTCTCCAAAAAAAAAAAAATGACGCTGTGCTGGTAAGCAAGGCTCCAGGTAGGATTCAGGGATCTATAGAGGTCAAACCAGGTGGGGGAATTTCAACAACCATTTTTGAATGCATGAAACACAATATTTTCTTTATAGTATTTATAAATGTATTATACAGTACTGTTTCCTGTTATGTCAAATACCAATATGGCATTGTACAACAAGCATAATGCCATCTGATTCTTACAAAAGGAAATCAGTTAAACAAGACAGTAAAATAAACGGTAGTACCGGCTTTTAGGCGTACAGATTGTAAAACTGAAGTTGACTTTCCTTTGATGGGTTTTGCGTAGCAACAGAGAAGTAAAAATCAAAAATCAGGAATCCAAATGGCTAAATATGCAAGAAATCCTTATTCACAGTGACATGGCTACATAGAATGCGTTATTCTATGCATGTTCTTTCCTTTTGTTGAATTTCAAGGTAAAAAGCACTTGTTTTCTACAGATTCACAAAACAGCGTAATAACAAGAAAAATCAAGGAGAATGTAATGTAGGCATTAGTTGAGAGTAACAAACTATGGCCCAATGCTTATACCTACTGCAGAATATTTCCAAATCCAAATAATGGTTACAGGAACAATTTATACCTTTCCTAACATACAGGGAAAAAAAAAATCTTGCCTGCCTTCCTAGAAACCAAAATTTCTTTACAGGAATAATCTTTCTTTTCAATTAACGTCCATATAAACTGCACATCTAGTCCATCTTTTATAGCCAAATTTAATGTTACTACAAAAGAAAATAAATTGGACGATAGTCACATGGTTTAGCATCTATAAAGCTGCAATGGCATGAAGATATCTGTATAAATCAGGGATTTAAAATCTCTTTCCTTAACAGTCTTAGGTATCAACAAGATGCTGATGACCCATTTACTGATGTGTTTTTTTTTGGAGAGGTTTTTGCTATAGGGCACGTGCGCTCACCAGACAGACAGAGAGAGACAGAGAGACAGAAAGTGAGAAACTACCCCCAGGGGGGATGGCCATGCCGCAATCCCTTCTCCTCCATTCTCTTCATGGGAATGCATGCACACGTGCCCAGCATGAGTTTAAGCCACCGGGTCCGGGACTCAAACCGTGGTCGACTACATGGGAGTCCAGTGACATAGCCGTTACGCTAACTGCAGGTCTCACGACTTTTGAGGTCTATTGGCAAAGGAGGATTGGTGGTTACCGCTGGGGCTGTTGCTGGTTCCATTCCCAGTACTGGAAATGTGAGGGAACTGTGGATGAGGAGACTGCACCGGAGTACAGGGACTAGGCAAACAGGAAGAAGCGGAGGGAATACTTCCTGCTGTTGGCCTTGTCGCTCTCAAAGTCGCTTTCCAGTTCTCCAGCATTTGTGACTGATCTTCATTCTTTTACAAGTAGGTCAAACTCTGTATTTCAAAGGAAGAGGACCATTTCTTCTCCAGGTATATATGTAGGCAATATCCATTAACATATTATAATCCTTTAAAGGTTCCTCTTTGTACATGACATCAATCTGGAAAGTATTAGGTAAACCATTCTGCTTCTGAGAAACTTTCTTAAGTGCATCACAGGCATTGCTGCTAAGCATCATAAATACCTTTTATCATTCATCTCCTCCTTAGATTTCTCTTTGTCTTTGTTTATTTTCCGATCCAGTCTGTTCTAGTCAAAGAACTCAATGGATAAACATTATCTCATCAGTTATAATTCTCTTCTCTTTATTTGGGGGGGGGGGGAGGATTTTGCTATAGAGCGCGTGCATTCTCCAGAAAGACAGAGAGAGACAGAGAGACAGAAAACCAGAAATCATCCCCCAGGGAGAATGGCCACACTGCAATCCCTTCTCCATTCTCCTCTTGGGATCTTGGGCACGCACGCACATGCGCCCAGAGTGAGTTTAAACCAGCAGATCTGGGACTCGAACAGCGGTTGACTACATAGGAGTTCAGCAACATAGTCATTACCCCAACTGCTGGTCCCATAATACTCCTCTCTTCATCTGCAACTTCTCCTATGTCTCCATTAGAGCCATTGGCAGCATCAGCAGACAGATGAGCTGCATAAAAATCCCTTCTCTTCATTTCATTTTTGAGAAGCCCTGGGACTAATATGTATACAATATCTTGAAGAGTTTTATCTGACCTTATATTCACTAATGGTCTCGTTTTGTGAACTTGGACATCATAGATAGGACAATACTTGCTGTTCTCCAGGTAATGCACATTCTATTATGGTTGTGGCATCAATGAAGTACCCTCCACAAAGAACACACATTTGGTGGGGATTTAGCTCAGTGATCTTGATCCTGGTTGTTCGATGTATTTCCGTTTGATAAAAGATGTATTCCACTTGGCATCCGGCCACAGCTGCAACTCCGCGTGGAGCCGGACCAGAGCCCTGAGCTTCCACGGGCGAGTGCGGTGGCCCAGCGGCAGCGGGCGCCGGACCAATGGTCTTTAATTATCTTTTTTTAAAAAAACTTTCAAGAATGATTTCATTCCCTCTCTCATGGCCTCGCTTCTAAGACAAAGAAAAGAAGACAGAATGGTCATGCCAAAAAGGGCTGCTGCCATGTGCAGCCTGCTCCCTGCACAAACCGCGCCTGATGCACGCCCAAGGACAAGGCCATTAAGAAGTTCATCATTGGAAACATAGTAGAGGCCGCAGCCATCAGGGACATCTCCGAAGCAAGTGTCTTTGATCCCTTTGTGCTCCCCAAGCTGTGTGTGAAGCTACATCACTGTGTGAACTGCGCTATTCATAGCAAGGTGGTCAGGAACAGATAGATCTCCCCCACCCCGATTTAGACCTGCGGGTGCTGCCCCTCACCCTCCACCAAAGTAAGGAGCTGAGTCTGTAAGGACTGAAGAACTGTCTGTCCTCTGGGAAAAAATAAAATGTCAATTATAAAAATTTTAAAAACTAAAAAAAATATATTTTAACTTTATTTATTTTCATTTGACCAGAGAGAGACAGAGAGAGAGAGAAAGAGAGAAAGCAAGCTGCCAGGTCCAGGACTCAAACCACTGTCAGTCATGTGGGAGTCCAGTGTCCTTAACTATCATGACACTTGCCAGCCCCAATCTTTTAAAAAATTCCATTTTTGGAGGCTGGCAGGTGGCGCGCTGGTTAAAAGACTGGATTCTCACATGACCGACCACAGTTTTAGTCTTGGACCTGGCAGCCTGAAAATCACACTGGGTGAATGTAAGCTCCAAATCTCTGAAGGAGAATGGAGGAGAAGGGATTGTGACATGGCCAGCCATCCTGGGGGGGTGACTTTCCACTTTCCCTTTCTCTGTTTCTCTCTGGGTACATGCACAATATGGCAAAAACCTTAAAAAAAAAAAGAGAGAGAGAGAGAGAGAGAAAAGATTTCATTTCATAACTTATGATTACTTTATAATGATTTATTCTTTTTTTTTTTCTAGAGAGATTTTTCCTATAGGGCATGTGTACCCTACAGAGACAGAGAGACAAAAAGTCAGAAAGTGAAAAATCACTCTCCAGGGAGGATGGCTATGCTGTAATCCCTTCTCCTCCATTCTCCTCTTAGGATTTTGGGCACACACACACATGCACCTGGCATGAGTTTTAAGCCACTGGGTTGGGGACTTGAACCAGGTTGACTACATGGGAGTCCAGTGACATAACCATTTTGCCATCTGCTGGTCCCAGTAAAGATGTATTCTTGGGCTGGCCCTATAGCCTTGTGGCTAAAGGAAAACCACCAGGCTAACCACGTTTTCATTCCCTACCTTGGAGGCTTGAGTAAAGTACCAGGCTGGGGTCCGGCAGATTACATGGTGGTTAGGGCACTGGACACTCTCACATGGCCAACCATGGTTTGAGTCCTAGACCTGGTAGCTAACTTTCTCGCTTTCCCTCTCTGTGTCTCTCTCTGGTCAAATTAAAATAAATGAATGGGGGCTGGCAGGTGGCGTAGTGATTAAGTTGCGGGAGTCCCACATGGCCGACTGTGGTTCGAACCTTGGATATGATGGCTTGCTTTCTCACTTTCCCTCTCTCTCTTTCTCTCTCTCTGTCCCTCTCTGGTCAAATAAATAAATAAAATAATTCCTAAAAAAATGAAATAAATGAATAAATAAAATTAAATTTAAAAATAATTCTTTTAAAAAGAAAGCAAATGCCAGGCCCATGTGCATGTATGCCTATGGTCCCAGTGGGATGGAGAACTGGAGAACAGGGAGTGCGGCAAGACCATGCCCACTGGAGTGTGCTTTCTCCCCCTCTCTCTATGGTGAGTGCATGTGCTCTCTGGAATTTAAACAAAGAAAAGAAAAAAAAAAAAGATTTACTCTCTAACTAGTAAGAATAAGTAGGAAAAGTACTATCACTACCAACTCACTCTTCCATAGGAGCCAGTATAATTCTGCTGAACGTAGCTAAAAAGAGGTAGGTGTCAACAACAGTCATTGTGCTTAAATATGAACAAGAGTTTTCTAAGCTATGCTAAAATCTCCACTTGTCTAGCAGAAGCAGATATTAATGATTGGTGGCATAAGAAAAGAAATTACTCTGCAAGCAGCCGTGAAGACTAATAGTACTAGATGAGAGATTCTTCTCCAACCGAATGCAAATAAAAAAAAGAGAAAATGCCTTATTTTTTCATCATGTCAATTAAGGCAAATCAGTACTCCTAAAACGAGAAAGACCGGGCTCATTATTTCTATGACTTTAAGGTGACACTGAATTAGAAGAAGATGTAAACAGTCATAACTCTTACCCAAGACGCATCATGAACATCAAAACAGTCTTGGAGTTCACTGTGTCTCCTACACCCATAACCACCAAAATATATTAACCTGAAAAAAAAAAAAAAACACACAAAGGGACACATTTAGAGAATTCTGCTTCTGACCTGCCCATAGAAAGTTGGAAGAGATGCCTTCTCTCATCCTAATAACCTAAGCAAACCATATAAATAACAAAATTATGGTTTTAAAAAATCAACACAAAGAGCAGAGGGAAGAGACCTACATGAGCCAAAAAAAGAATCAGAAAAGAATTAGCAAGAGAATGATACATATGAAGCAAAGAGCTAAAATTTGCATAACTGAAGTTCTCTTTCTCCCAAAACAAAGAAATTGAAGGTTAAAAAATATAATGAACAAAAACTGCTGTTGGATGAAAGGGAGAGGTAATGGTAGGCTACAATCTACTTTTATTGATGCTCAGAGCAGGGAAACAATAGATATTATTTAAAGAAAAAGAAGCTAAGGATTATATATTAAAGTATGACTATAAGCATTAGAACTAATGAAGGTCTACACATTTGAATAAGGCAAAAAGAAAAAAAAGTGTAAGGATCAGAAAAAAAGAAATAATGGGGCCAGCAGGTGGTGTGGTAGTAGTTAAAAGTGCTGGATTCCACATGGACGACCATGGTTTAAGTCCCAGACCCAGTGGCTTGAAAATCTTGCCAGATGCATGTATGTGCATGCTCAGGATCACAAGAGCAGAATGGAAGAGAAGGGACTGCAGCATGGCCATTCCCAACCCCCCACACACACACACACACACACACACTCAGAGTGATTTCTCATTTTCCTTCTCTCTCTGGTTTCTTTGGTGGGCACATGTGCCCTATGGCAAAAAACAAAAAGAAAGAAAGAAAGAAAGAAAGAAAGAAAGAAAGAGAGAGAGAGAGAGAGAGAGAGAGAGAGAGAGAGAGAGAGAAAGAAAGAAAGAAAGAAAGAAAGAAAGAAAGAAAGAAAACTGGAGAGTCCACAGATTTTCTGATTATCTACAAAATTAATTGCTAAGTTAGAATAAAAGAGGTTAGCAAGGGTGCTGAAGACAAGATCAATATATACAAAAATCACTCCTGTTTCTATATTCTAGCAACAAATGAAAAAAATAAAAAGATAGCTATTTAAAACAGCACTGAAACTTATCAGATTCTAGGTAATAAAGCCAATGAAAAGTGTACAAGACATCTATCTAGACAACTAAAAACAGTACTGAGAAATGTTAAAAAGTCTAAATAAAAATAGGGCTATATCATTATCATGGATTTGAAATCTCAATACTATAAATATGTCAGTTCTCCCCAACTTGAACTCTAGACTCAATGAAAGTAAATTTAAAATTCTAGGGCCAGCAGATGATGTAGTGGACTGTCAGTGGACTCCCACATGGCTGACTGCCATTCAAGTTTCGGACCTGGTGGCTTGAAACTCATGCTGGATGCATGTGTGTGCAGGCCCAAAATTCCAAGAGGAAAATAGAGGAAAAGGGCTTACATTGTGGTCATCCCCTGGGGAGACGATTTCTCGCTTTCTGTCTCTCTGTCTCTCTGGTGAGTGCACACACCCCACAGCAAAAATCTTTCTCTTGGGGCTGGCAAGTAGCGTGGGGGTTAGAGGCACTGGACTCCCACATGGCCAACCGTGGTTTGAGTCCAGGACCTGGAGACTTGCTTTCTCATTTTCCCTCTCTCTCTCTTTCTCTTTTGCTCTGTCCTTCTCTGTCAAATTAAAATAAAGTTAAATAAAGTAATTCTTTTTAAAAAAAAAATCATCTCTCTCAGGGAACTAGCAGTTAGAGTAATGGCTATGTCACTGGACTCCCATGTAGTCGACCGTGGTTCACGTCCCCGACCCGGTAGCATAACACTCACGCCGTGCACGTGTGCGTGCATGCCCAAGATCCCGAGAGGAGAATGGAGAAGAAGGGATTGCGGCGTGACCATCCCCCCTGGGGGGGGTGATTTCTTGCTTTCTGTCTCTATGTCTCTGTCTGTCTGGCGAGCGCACGTGCCCTATAGTGAAAAATCTCTCCAAAAAAAAAGAAAAAAGAATTTTCTCTCTCAAAAATTCTAGCAGGGTTTTTTTTTAAACAAATTAACAAGTGAATTCAAAATTTCTATGAAAATGCATAAAACCTTAAAAAGCTGAGATACATATGTGGGAGAACAAATAAGAAACAAAAAGAATAAATTTACAGGCTCTCAGGCTTATAGTAACAGTAAAGAAACTAAGACAATACGGTACTGGTACAAGGTCTAACACATTGTTCAACAGAATAGAGAAGAAACTCCAGAAACAGATCCATCGATATATGGACATTTAATCTATGGCAAAAGCAGCAGAGGAAAGTAATGGGTAAAGTGTAGTCTTTTGGGGCTGGCAGATGGTGTGGTGGCTAAGGGCACTAGACTCCCAAATGGTCAACCTTGGTTCGAGTCCCAGACCTGGTGGCTTGCTTTCTCATTCCCCAATCCCTCTCTCTCACTCTGTCCCTCTCTGGTCAAATTAAAATAAATGAATAAATAAAATAAATGAAGTTAAATAAAATAATTATTTAAAAAAGTATAATCTTTTACATCAATGTTGCTATATCAACTGGTTCTTCAAATGCAAAATAAAAAGTGACCCTTCCCTTATGCCATACTCAAAAATTAATTCCATGTGTGTGAATCAGAAAGTGAAAAATAAAATAATAAGGTGTTTAAAAAATAACTTAAATCTCTTCATAGTGTTGGGGAATTAAGTTACTAGGACACAAAAAAGCACTAACTATGAGAAAAATATTGGTAAGTAAGACTACATTAAAATGAAAATTTTTGGTTTATCAGACTAGACTATTAAGAGAATGAAAGGATATACACTCAAAAACTCCAAAAGATATAGAAATCTATTAACTGTATTATTCCAAAGGGTCTAAAAGTAGAAATGAGGACCACCAGATAATGTAATGTTTACATTGCTAGACTCCCACATGGCTGACCACAGTTCAAGTCCCGAACCCGGGGGCTTAAAACTCACAGTGGGTGCATGTGTACATGCACCCAAAATCCTGAGAGGAGAATGGAGGAGAAGGGACTGTGAAATGGCCATCCTGAGGAATGATTTCTCACTTTCTATCTCTCTCTGGCAAATGCACGCACCCCACAGTGAAATTTTCTCCTAAAAAAAAATAGTAGAAATGACCGAAATGTCTGTCAGTAGTAGACCCAAACTAATTCAAGAACTTTATCCAACAGCTAGATCTGAAATAATTATATATATTTATACACACACACACACACACACACACACACACAGAGATATACAC